TAATTAAAGCCTTAACAAAATGGTTTAACGTCTTCAAAAGAATAATCATCCATGTCTCTAATATTTCTTTAATTAAGCATAGATTTTCTAAAGTGGAAGGAAAAAGGTTTCCTTCTGCGTTCTAAAGATTGAGACACCTTCCTTTTGATGTGACAGCAAGAAGCTGCTCGCGTTTGTATGAGTAAGCAGTGCCTATGCCCTTGCATTGAATACGTTGTATCGGAATGAAGCTTGCAGGTCCATCGATTTCATATAAACACTTACACCACAATTCTACTGGATAACCASAGTGGTGTTTAACGTCTTCATCAACAGCTTGCAACCAACTAACTTTAGCAAATATGTGAGGCATAAAGTTTCCKTCGGCATCAAATATATTGTGCAAGACATAGTAGTGAACTCTCCCTGGCCGAGGATGCGAATCGCATGCAATGTTTCCATCCATTCCGACCCAAGAAGCAATGACAAGGGATGATCTCTCACTTTTAGTAAGCTCAGAACCAAAACTCTCCCCTGCAAATGAGACTGACTTGAAACGTGAATATGCTTGTGGAATATCAACATCGTTATCAGGTTCTTTGAGTTGCGGATATAGTAAGTGATACACTGCTTTAATGTATTTGAATTCTAATGAACTAAATATTTTCATTTGTCGAGGAGGCCGTAGCACATACATTCCATCTTTGCACTGCCAATCTTTTGTTAGGTTAATTGGGGCCGATGCAAATTGTAAAACTGAGAGAGCCTGCACGGGATCGATGCTTGTCTCAAATAGTGATCCTCTTTCTTCGTTGTTGTCTTTTCCGATAATTTTCTGTAGCTCTATGTATTCCTGATGCGTACAATTGTCTTGTGTCTGCAAAATGTCATTGTCTTTCAGGAACTTTCTCATTAACTGAATTTCGACTGAGCGTTGGTTTGTGGGATATTTTCCCAAGATGCCATTATATCTTTCAAAACTGAAGCACCAGAAAGAAAATACAGGTCCATAGTCAATAATGCACTCCTTTAAATGACAGTGCAAGTGCATGTTGGGTGTAACAACTTCTGGGCCATATAGACTTTCAATGCATTTGCAAAAGTTAAGTAAACGTTCATCGGCTTTTAAGACTTCATTCAATCGAATGACTCGAGTTGTAACTAAACGAGAAGCATGAACAAATAAGCGCCAGCATTTTAAATCTTTCTCTGGTATTAGTCCATGTAATGCACTTATACTGAAAAAATTTGTCCAATCTTTCCACTGATCTGCCGTGAATCCCCCAAAACTTGAGGCTATCTTAGTGGGTATTCGGCCCAAGTCACTTGAAACTTCTGTACTGTCGACCCTCTTTTGGATTTCACGCAGTTTTTCGTCTGTCAAAATCCCTCTTTCAATCCAAAGCTCGATCATTTTCTTTGCTGTTCCAAGGTATAGATTATGCATCGGATCTATAATGCAGAATCGGATTGCAGAGAAATAAGACAATTCATTTAATGCACAACAACGCATTCCGTTTTCAGTCTCTAGACTTGATAATTTATCTTGTGTTTGACATTTTTTCATTTTTTTACAAGCTTCTTGATGACTTTTATCGTCTCTTTTCCCCCAGTTCTCCCTATCAAATCCAGAGTAGTCTCTTTTGCTAAAGTCACCTCCAAATACCTTTAGGCACTTGGAACAACCACGCCTTGCTGAATGCGATAAAAAGCCACATACTTTTCTTGCTGCCGGTAAATCACATGCCACACATAAGAGAGCCGCTTTAAAAGTATGTAATGTTCCATCCAGAAAGGATTTAGAACTGAAGCCTACATCCCATAATTCTTCCAATT